GAAAGAACTATCTTGATTGTAGCAAACACGCTCTAAAAAATACAAATCCAACTTTTATTTTATAATAATTTTATTCTAATAATATTAATTAAATTATTTAGATAATATTTATAAGTTGACATATTGTAATATAATATGTATTATGTTTTATGACTTTTTAAGTATAACTGTTTAAAAATAAAATAAGATATTTATATATAATCATGTTATATTTAATATAAGAGTGTTGTTGTTGTATGTAATAGTAATACATTAATTTAGCTTCACACCACGGTGCTCAATGTTTAAGATTTATATAATTTTTATAGATGCCATGTCGCGAAAGTGTAAAAAGTGAATTGTTTATGGTTGATATTTGAGACTTTACACCTATGAATTATGAAAATAGTTATAATCATTACAATTATATTTGTATATTTTTAGAAAATATAGTGTTTACTATACGTTAAACCAGAACAATCAAATTGATTAAATTGTAGGTACATTAATTTCATGTGTAGTCATGTGTAGTATGTGTTAAACATGTTTACAAAAACAAAAACGTTCTAAAAACGAAAGTGTTTTGATTTAACTAATTCTGTATAGGTAAACCTATGTGATATATCATATATATATTGTGCGTTCTATATCTATAGATAATATACATATCTTGCAATCGCGACATAATGGCTTTTTGCAAATGTATTATTTCCAACGCACCTATACACGGTTTTATCATAGTTGTAGCTATGATACAATGTCACAATCGTGATTTAATATTACTAGGTTGGCTCAAGAAATATTTTAAAGATTTTATAAATAAAACGATATAGAAGCTACTCTCATCAAACTATTTTGTGTCACGGGCTCTGCTGCCGCTAGTTTGCCGCCTAAATGCACCATCGTCAAGCTCGATTTAAAAGCGACCGTCGGCTTGTTTGGCCTTACGTCTTGCCGTTGTTTACAAACAATAGAAGAAAAAAAAATCAAAATCTGACACGAGGCTGGTATATCTATCCCTTGTCCTTGGCACATACGAGCGTCGTTCAGAGCCCGCGACAACGACGTTGCCATTTTTAACGTCGAGAAACCTGCTAACGACTAATGTTGTTCATTTATAAGATTCTGACCACTTCTTTGCGAATTGCTGTTACTGTTGCGTACACTCGTTGAAAATGGTAAACAGACGATATTTTTTTTGCGATTAAAACCGTCTCGCGATCGTATCATTTTTGGATATCCCAGTTGTAAATTTTAATAGGAAAAAAAATATTTTTCATGTTCAGTTTTAATTTTTTTTTTTTTTTTCAAACGACGATAGAATTATGTGCAAGTTTATGTATAAATATAAAAACGAATTTCAAAACGATTTTTTTTCCCAATGCACTGTCCATTAATTTAAAAGCTAGGCGTTGTCTGCCAATTACGTTTAATTTACCACACCGAGTCATCGCGTCTTCATCGGCTCGTTGCATTCTATACATTACATTGTAAAATCCATACATTTTATTATTATTATTCACAGTTTATCGCTTGTGTTTTAATGACGGAATGAAAAAACAATTGATTTGTATACGTATTTTTTTCAACGAGAAACCTCACGTTTTCGGAGATTAAGATTATGTGTGCGCGTACCAAAAAAACGACGATGGCCCCCCAACGTACAGTCGGTTGAATATCGGCCAACCGATTTTATTGCGGACATCGTCTGTAGCGTCGAGTCTGCGGAGCGTTCGTGTCCCACTTTGCGTTAAAAATCGGACACGTGCGCATACCGACAGCCACGATTCCTATTGCAGGTTTCGTTGAAAAATTATAATATTATATATATATACTCATATATTATGACGCACGGAGAGAGGATCGATGGTCGTTAATAAACGATCTCCCTCATCGAATCTACTGTTTTTTTTTTGTTTTTTTTTTATTAGCCGACTGTACATTTTATTTGATGACGATTGATTAATTGAGAAACGATCGGTTAGTATTAAGGTTAAAATAAGGAGTTGGAAAATTAATGCGCTAAAAAAAATAATTTAATAAATATTTAACTATTATATATTACGCTATTAAAGCAAATCAAATATATACGTATTATTATTGATTTTACAAACGAAAAATAAAAATGTGCATTCATGTGCTTAAAGCCGAAAATTATGCAGAAATATGCATAATAAAAGTTGTTGTTTCTTTTGTGACATCACGAAATACTTAGTGTAAAGTTATACCTACAAAATATCAAATTTTTTACATATGAATTCTAATTATTACTGCAATGTTATTATAGTCTATAGCAGCGTTCCCCGAACTTTTTCTTTGCCAGACCCCTGATCGCGGACCTCTTTATCAGATAAAAATTAAAAACAATAATACATAATAATACTAAATTGATTGCTTTACTTTCTGAACTAAATGCTCATATTTGTATAATAAATAGCGATATACCAACGCGATCAGTCTGTCTCTAATTTTAACTGCTTTTCAACGATAATTATTTCGACAATGTATTTCCCATATAATACGAATATTACATCAGTATTTTCGTTTTTATAGAAAAGTACTTTGTGTATTTTTAATTTACGTTCGCGGACCCCCTCTAGTATAAGTGTGGACCCCTAGGGTTCGCGGACCACAGTTTGGGAAACGCTGGTCTATAGCATATATTTAAATTGCATAAAATATTGTCCATATAATCACCACAGTTAAGGCAGTTCTGTATCAAGCAGGCCGGACAATCAATTTAGTACATACTACCTTTATAGTGCCCAATAGAAATACTGTCCCAAAACGTTCGAGCTTTCCACAGTACACTTGGTTGTAAAATATAATAGATATTGTCCTAATCATGATAAATTGTATTATAATGTAAATATTTTTAACAAAATATTATCTTAAAACTATATGGTTTACTAGCAAAATTAAGTATTTAATAGTTATTATTCGAAACCAACTTGGTCTCAAATCTTATAGGTTATATCTGAGAGAAGTCACTCAATCCGTTTTAATTGAATTTTTTTTAGAACGATCATTATTGGAGCATTTAAATATTCGTGTTTTACGAATTTGATAACTACCTTCGATTTACTATTAATATATTATGGTATTGCACTTGGTACTATATTTGTCCACGTAGTCATTCCAATAATGATAAGTACTTTTTGTTTTATATAGTTATTACTCAACGTGAGCAATGTTCATCGGGCATACATAATATGCTTGCATGCCTCTTAAAGTTATTCTTGCTATCTAGAATATTCTCATAGTATGTACCACATATTTCTTATAGAATGTCTTTGTTTTCCGCGTTGTTTAATCTCAATTCGACAGATTCAGCGGGTTTGTTATATTTTTTTCAGTTATTCTTTATTTTCGACGTTCATTTTTATAATTATTTATTTATTTATTATATATATACGACTATTGTATTTCAAATCTTGATCTAGGTCATGCCGGCGAGTTAATTAGTGAAATACAGTGCACACCGACATAATGTTAATCGTCGTCTGTTCACATGGTCTAGTTAATTAAAATTACGTTTTTTCAAATTTTTTTTCCTTCCTGCTATGGAACTTTTTTGGTTACGATAAAAATTCTACTAATTCATATAAATCAACCGTGTAACATTCTCGACTCTAATACATAGGTATAAATAACAACGACGGTATTTATTTAAAGGTTATCACCGAGGATATTGATACACAACTTTCATGGCCGCAGCCATTATTTCGGAGTTTCGACCAAATTGGTTCGATATTATTTATTGAATTTATAAATCCGATTGTAGAGAAAAAGAGAAGGAATCGAGTGAGAATGAAGGGGTTGCAAATCGTCGGCGTGTTATTGATTTCTTGCGACATTATGAAACCAGTTAATTAAATAGTATTTATTATTTAACGTACAGAAGGTCGACTGTCGGGTCTAGCCCACGAATTTTTTCTCGATCTTTGATCGTTTGGTCTGACGCCTTTCGAACACCGAACATAATTCAGTACATAATATGTAGCGGTCCAGCGTATGCTTTATGAATGAAGACCATCGATATCCAGACCAATACTGCACGAAATGAGGTCGTTCGTGCGATATGTGCATGTATATAACATGTATATACGTTTGTGTGATCGACTAGCGGTTTCCGTGAGGTGGACGTTGACCACAGGTTCCAATGACTCGAAAGAACTCTATATATACATACCGGGTACCACGTTATCAATCGCGTTATTACTGTTATTCTTTTATATTATTTTAGTCGAGTAACCATAGTTTTTTTTTTTTTTTTACCTCTATACATGTCATGCTCTACAAAAAAGTCTCCTTGTTTTACGATATGTAAAAATTTCGCCGTAAAAATTACACGGGAAACAATGTCTACGAACTCAATTGGTTTCAGTGTAATACGCTGTACATATATATTATATACAAGAATACATGCGGGCGACAGCTAGTAACTTGTGAAATATTATAGAAAATAATTACGTTCGAGGGCTGTTGTTGAACGATCCATAACGCAATTCACCAATATACGCATACATTCGTCAATATTTATTAAATAAACGAAAAAGTGTACTTACTCGTAGGATCAGCACTGATTTGCACCGAAATCCAAAATAATATTATATACTCGTAGTCTACACTATAGATATTACTGTTACTTGGTAATACTGACGTTACACGTATGTGCATTGTGTTACGCGAACACGCGAAAAAAATACATTCGATAACTTGTTCGTAAGCAATAGATTACCTTGAACTGTGATTTCTTCTGCGAAATCATTCAACTATGTTATAACGATTACTGGAATTAAATAATTTGATAAAATAAAACTCATGTTATATAATTTGTATTCCGTTCTTGTTATATGATTTGTATTGATGTGCGAACGAGTTTTTGTAAAATCCATATTTGACTGCTCGTGTTTTTTTTTTTTTTATACCACAATACTTTTCTTGATCTAAAAAAATGAAAATTTTTAATAATTTATCGTTAAAGTTTCAAATACTAAAATATATAGTTTTGTTTGCAGACCTTGAGGGGCCTTGAGCCCCTGTGGGATGGACTGCCGTGGCGACGAGCTCATCCAACACAATAACAGAGCATCGGCACAAGCTGTGCCTTTTCAATACCTCATCAACGAACAGGCTAAGTCTATCCTCGCTCTACAGGTCTGTGTAAACTGTTATTTCAATTTTTTAAGTATACCTTAGAAATATTACACAATATAAGTTATGTAATCGATAATTATTCATTCATGTTGTTTTTAAAAAAATATAAAGATATGAGTTTCTGTATATAACCAATGATATTATTAATTATTCTCGTCGACTGCAGTCATTAACGATTGAAAGACAATTTGTAATAAACGTTGATTCCTAAAATTAAGATGTAACCAATTTCTTAAATAAATTAGTTGATTTGATATTTTTTTAATTACTAAATTTTTTATTTTATTACTGCATTAGATATTTGTTAGTTATGTCTGATAATAGTGAATAATACAGTAAACACTAATACATGTATATTTATATTTTTATTTTATATTATAAAAATATTATTTAAATCTATCTCGTTGACTTTGATAATAAATAAAAATCCTGCTGATTACTACGTCATGTTTCTACGTATTTAGTTTATTTTTAATTCGCTAAGAATGATAGAACCTAATGATACATTTTAATTTATGTATCATTTAATTAACCATTTCCGTTTATAAATCAAAACAAGTATGAAATAATTACGAAATAATTGGTGATTTGTCATTAAAATTAATTTATAAACAATTTATAACGTTTATCAGGATGGTAGTATTTCTTTATTTATGAAAAATATTATATATATACCGTATATACCTACTCTTTTTTACTCTTTTAGACTATAAAAATATAAATTAACCATTATAAATTATTTTCATAATTTTACACAAAAAAGTTATAATATCTTTCAAAATATAGTTAAATAAGTAAAAATCATCATTTAAACCTAATAATCCGATATAAGTAACATATAATTTGCACGTTATGACGTCTATATTTGCTATTTCACTTACACCTAAATTATTTATATTATTAGTTATTGAACCATATTTAAAGAAAGTATAAACACACGTTTCTAAAAAACGTTTTGTTTTTATGTCTTGTTATATTCCGTATGATATTATTATACGATTCATTTTACCGGTTTGTAGATTTTCGACAAATGAGGTAAAACAAAAGTTTTACCTTTCGATTTTCTGTTGATTGTAACCAAAATTGTTAAATATAAAATTCGTGTTTCGAAAGTAAAACCTATAAGTACATACAGAGATTACAGCAAAGTGAAATTTTCATTTTCTTTCATGCGTTTTTTTTCTCGATACATCTTAAATACTTAATTAAACTAATATGCACGTTATAGAAATAATTGCAATTTAAATGTTTTAATTTGTTCATTGTATAGTAAATTATAAATACATATATTGTTTAAATGTTAATAAACTTATATCTTATTAGTATCTCACGCCATATGACTAATTTATCAAAACATGTATTACATAGTTTAAATAAAAAATATAAAATGTTTCGCATACAAGTAAAATTAAATTGTTCACCTACGGCACTAAAGTCAGTACTATTTTATGACACGAATTTGTCTTTTTCGTAATCTTGTAAATATGTTCGTATTATATATAAGTACTGAATATTTTATTAGAAAAAAATACAATTTTGCTTATATTTCATCGATAAATATCATAAATAAAGACCGTTATTTAGTAATGCTCTTAGTATATTTTTAATTTTAAGAAAAATGTTATCCATAGCGTTGTCTGTTTTTTGATTGTCTTAAATTGTTGTAAAAATGTATTAGAATTTAAATTTTTTTGAATAGTAAAAATAACCAATACCGCGATTGTGTGGTTCTCAATTTAAGTTATCATAATAAAATATTTTTAAAGTTTAATTCGTTAAAAAGTAGGACGATTTTAAATTTCATTGTTTAATTTACTGCAAGTTTTTTTCTTTTTTTCTTTTTTTTAGTGGTCATAAAACAGCTGTAGTGAGAGTTAACTTTTATTATTATTCTAATGTTATAAATAAGTTTTAACCATATATGAATAAAATATTATTTTCAAAATGATAATAATAAGTTAATATATTTATTGACGATTCTGCCTATATTAATATGTTAGTAAAAATGTAAGTAAAAATGGAGACGCGTATTATAATAATTGTTGTAATGGAGCAAGTATTAAATGCAATATTAAACGTCAACGCGCAAACAATCTGCGTAAAACTGTTGTAAGATGCTTTTGATTCAAATATTTAATTACACCTAATGCGACTGGAATAATTTTAACTCGTACTTGCAGCGATGATTTGTAGAATTAGTAAATCCTTATTAAAACAGACTCCCTCTTAGACGGAAATCTCCTTAAAAGGGAATGGAAAACCAACAAATATTTTTAAATTATAAATGTAGCTAATGCATTATGTAATAAAATAAAATATTGCATTGTAAAATAGGAACGATTTTAGTTTTAAAATTATACATATTATATTAAATTTTGTTTTTTTAAATTATATTTTGCTGTATTATTATGTACGTTTGTAATGTTAATAACAATAATTTGCTTGAATGTTTCAGGAATTACAGAATGAGGTCGGTGCGCTGTTGGAGTTTAGGGAGCTCGTCATGGACACGTTCCCACACCTGCGCCAGAAGCAGGTGTCCAGCCCGGAGCCGAGCTCCGGGTCGCAGGGCGTGGGTTCCGGAGAGAGCCGCTGGGAGCCCGGAGTTCGGGTTCGCCGGAAGCTGGGATCGTCATCGTCGGCCGGATGGATCGCTGGTGGCGGCGGCGGTGGTGGACTGGCGACGGTGGTCGCGGCCACGGCACCCCGGAGCCGGAGCAACAGTCACGGAAAGGGGCCTAAAAGTGGTGAGCCGGCCACCACGTCCGTGGGCACCGTGCAGGACAGTGGGTTCTGCACGGAGAGCAAGGACAGTAGTTCGACCAGCTCGCGGACCACGATGACCAAAAACTGTTGCAAGGATGAGGACGAGCTGTGGAGCCTGCTGGAGGTGATCCAGGACAAGGGCACCAAGCTCAAGCTGGAGGTGGAGTTCCTGCAGAGTCGGCTGTTGGACGACGAGCAACTGCGGTGGCGGCGACGTCGGCGACGGTTGCGCCGGTGCCGCAGCCTGGACGACGTGATGGCGCTGTGCGAGGACGGCGAGCGACAGCTACGGGCCACGATCAGCCGGGACGGTGGCAAGTGGCCGGCGCCGGTCGCCGACGAACGGTACGATTACAACGTGTTCCGGTTGCACGTAGCCAACCTGAAACGGGAACGGGACGCGCTGCTGGACCGGGTTACCGAGATGGAGGCGGAGAGCCTGTCGACCGCGGCGCAGATCCACCGGTTGTTGGCCGAGCTCAAGTCGGTGGTATGCGAGAACAAGGAGCTGGAGGACCGGCTGTGCGGCAACGGTAAGCCGTGTTCCGCGGCGGCCACGTCGACCGCGAGGAAATCATCTAGTCATAACGGCGGCGGGGGGTTCGCTCCCGTTCAACCGGAATCGTCGACCACGGGGCCCAGCTCGTCGTCCGCAGGCCGGGACACGTACTACACACCTAGCCAACACTCGGCTTGCAACCTGTCGTCCATCGAGCTGTGCAAACCGTGTTCGTCCTCGTACATGGACACGGACGACGACGACCGGCACCGGTCGCGCATGCTGCTGGTCCGGCCGTCCGACCCCATATCCCGAAACCTGGAGGGCCGGGCCTTGTCCCCCCTGCTGCCGGCCGTCGATATCGGGTCGCCCACGTTCGCCAAGCGGCTGGGCGCACTCGACGGCATCGTCAGCAGCCCTGCCGACAGCGTGGGCAAACCCGTGCCCGGGTGTGGTCCCGTGGTCGGCACTCCGCTGCCGAAACGCACGCTGGCTGCTATACTCAAAACGTTCAATCCCATCGAACTCCAGCGGCACCTCATCACCGTGTCTTACGAGAACAAGGTAAACATGCCTCGCACTGCTGTCCGCGCGTAACCTGCGAAAAGTATGTCGATCCGATATACGTGTGCACCCGGAATCCGTATGCGGTGCGAATCGGTCCGATCGGTCTGTATGATCGTTTAAATGGATTTTTTTTTTTTATGTCACTTGAAGTCAAAGACATTTGGAAGATTATTTTTTTTTTTGATTTTGGTCTCCCCATTAAATAACGCTTATTCTTTCAACGTCCGTTCTCCGTTCGTGGTTTTAGGCTTTTCTCTTTCGCTTTCGTTGTTTTCTTTCGCGCCCTTGCACATCTAATTGTTAATCGTACATGTTTATTTATTTTCTTAAATATTTCGACGTATAAATTGTACATTATCGTAGGTAAAATTATGCTGTACTCGCATCAATACGTGTATGAAATGTATATGAATGTTTTCAAATTGTTCCAGTTGACAAACTTCGTGAACACGTTCGTTTCTATTAATAATGTATCTTTAATACGGTTTTCTTTGTGTAAACATACGCTTTCAATTCGTAACCACTATTTGTTTAGTCGGTTTCTTTGTGGTTAAATGTTTGCTAAAAGTTTTCTATTCGCATAATACTTTTGGATCGACTCTATATACCACGTAATCTTCTTGGAGAAATCGAATGAGATCAAAATGTAATTTATTCGAAATTTATGAATAATCCTTATGAAGATGTAAAGTAAATAAATTTCCAAAGTTATATTTTCTTTAAATCACTCCTCATCTCGTGCCAACCAGAACTCAAATATTGTGGTATTTCGCCCAAGGTGATGAATTTTAAAATAATATAATACCAACGACGGAATCTGTGGTCAAAAATAAATGGTGAATTTTTTTTGCATTTGAAAATCACGATGGTTTCGAATAGGTACCGATTCACACGTTTCATTTTTATAAGGTTGAATTTCGAAACTGGTCTGTTGAAGTTGTGTTACTTTATTTGCGGACGTTGCACATACCTACATTGAATTATTGAATTACACTTGCATTCGCATTAAATATCAACATGTATTTAAATTTAATACTATGATGTAATGCATAGCAGAAATTGCATTACTGCAAGGATGTTGGGCTAAACATATTTTCTATACGAGTACCTTCGAAATTTAAGAGATTTCTTGGTTGTATTAATTGTTCGCCCACTGATATGAAGAATCCTCTGTTTGTCGTATGGACGTACAGATGTCTTCTGAGTTTTAATTTTTGAACCCACATTGACATATTTACATCGGAAGTTAGTCACAAGTTGACCATATATGAGCACTGAGCGCTTACACCCACGCGATTAAAATTTATTTTACCGAACCTATTATTGTATGCACTCATGTAATGTATATAAAGGTCTTCATTGTTTCGCCTTTTCCTTTTTTTCGGTAGGCGGATCATATTGCTGTTTCAATATTTCATCTCTAAACAAATAAGAATGATTATGCACTATTCAAGGATACACGGCTATTTATTTATTTTTATACCGTATGGTGTACATTCGTTTTGTTATTTTTATATAAATATATATTGTGCAAAACCAATAATAATTAATTATCCCGCCGCGGTAATATTATAAAAATACGATGTGCTGCGAAGTCTTTATGACCGTTACGCTATTCGTGTTCATGTACTTAATGTTATTGTAATAAATTCGTACTGGGTTTGAATGCAGTTTAACATGTACAATATTAATTATTTATATTAATTCGTAGGTTTTTTAAATAATTTGACGATTAGCTCATGCATCACCGTTGTCCCCGAGATGTTGGTAGTTATGTAACCGTGATTCCTGAACATACAACTACAGTTGTGTCGAAAATCTTGTAGTACTACCCAACACGGATATCTGTGGCAGTGCAGTGTCTTAGAAACGTGTGCATATTTTTACATTATTTTATTCGGAATCCGAGCCAATTAGAAACACAATCTTGGTCATCTGGGTTACCGCAGTTGTGTCGAGTCGCTGGCCCGGTGATAATTGACTGACCTTATAGCGTGTACGAGGGATATAATATACTTTCGCAATATTGATGAATTCATAATATAAATTTTCTAAGGAAAAAAAAACTGGGCCAACGCCCTTCAACGAGATATTAATGCGGGCGGACGTTTGACTTGAATGAATGAAAAACAAACACCATAATAACACGTATAGCACATAATCCTATTCGGGTCTTAAGTATATATAATTGATGTACTATTAGATTTATGAGGTTTCGATGACATTGACCATGATGGGTTTCGCTGTACGTTCGCGCTTTTGTTTTTTATACGATTGAACTTTTCTCTTTCACGCGTGCCAATAACACACAAATCGATTGGTTCGAGGCTGCATTGTTGTCTCGAAAAGCGTCCGTAACGCGAATCTTGTATAATTTATTTTAACACGAATGTTGTATAATGTTGTACCTATACATGTCTTGTAACGCGTGTTTTTTGTTTTGTTTTCACCGCGCAGAACCTCATCCGCCAATTGGAAATACTGAGCAAAAGTAAAAGCGATGTTTCCAACGAGCTGAACAAGAGCAAGGAAGATAACGAAGAACTAAAATTCCAAGTGAGAGACTACTAGGACACGTGGATGTTGATACTTGTATACTGATACATGCGTTTTGTGTACATTTGTTTTTCTAGCTGGAGGAGAAGCGCATAGAACTGGAAGGGACCATGGCCCGGGTAAGGTTGTTGCAGTTGCACCAGGAGCAACAGCAGCACGGGCCCGTCGTGAGTCAGCCGTCGGGGACTATAGCCGTGGCAAAAAACACGGCCACCGATCAGTGGTTGGACCTAGTGCCATCGAACCCGATCCTACCTCAGATCGCGTTGCCCGGTAATCCCCCATTGGCTACGGTGACCTCTTCGCACCACCATCAGAATCACCAGCACATGCATCACCACCAAGACGAAAACGGCGGTAGTAGTAGCACCGAGTCGGCGCATCAGGCGCGCAGCGGTAGCAGGCCACCTAGCAAAATCCCAGTGGTCAAGCCATCGTCGCACTCGGTGCCCAGGCCTCCGTTGTCGTACCGCGAACAACACCACTATCACCATGGGAACCGGGACCCGTTCCCGTCGTGGAACAAATCCAAGTCGGACCAATCTTCGTTACCCCGGAACTGGGAATCGATCGGCAAGATCAACGGCGGCGGGTCGTCCATCGGCAGTGGTAGTAAACAGAGAGGAGGAGGAGGAAAACAGGACTCGCTGCAACAGCAACAGCAGCTGGATGGCAAGCAACATAGGGCTCGCAGGGACTCGGGGAGTGGCGGCACGTCTCTGACGCGAGCCAAATCACAAAACCATCACCACCAGCAGCAGCGTGCTGCCGCCGTTTCGGCAGGGACCAAAGACTTTAGGGCCGGCGGTGGAGGCCCGACCGCAGCCGCCTCGTCCCCGGCAGCAGCGGCCGACGATACCAATAAGGTACGGCCGACCAAGAGGTTCGCCAACATACTTAACAGTTGGATGCGGAAATCCTAAACGGAAGGCTTTTTGATATATACGCATACATACATATACATACATATACATATATATATATACAATTATAAGCCCTGTGAGATATATATATATATATCTATATGTTTATATATTTACATATATTTACATATTGACACACACGTGATATACAACACGATAATCATGTGTCTGTCGCACCGACGCAGTATACTACACACATTGTACGCACGCACATCGCATACATATACATATTATATAATACTATTACCGTGAAAATATTACACGCACGCACGCAAAACTAGTGTGTATACACGCGTAAACGAGTATACATGTCATGTGTTTTGCGACTGTTTTGTCCGTACATGAATATATGCTTGTGTGTGTGTGCGTCGTATCGCCATCTCATACCGCCAATACTACTATACACATGTATACCGATTGCTGCGACCATAGTCACACAAAAAAAAAAAATAATAATAATAATTACGATGATAATAATAATACAAAATCTGTTATATATTATATATACGTATACCGAAAACAAATTAGCTTTTCAACGTGTGCTTGTCTGCTTCTTTGGATTTTACAGTAAAAAAAAAAATTTACATATGTCCCCAATCACCAAACACGTTCACACGCGACGACTCAAGTCGGCCGAAACCCGTAAGTCTGATATCATTTTTTTGTTTTATTTTTTTTTTTTAACCAAGTTTCAAATCTTATATAACTACCTTCTTACCCTCTATTATGGTTTGTTTTTGTAGAGTTGTGGCTTATTGCATGATATATATATATATACATCCCATTACCTCTCCCTTCGAGTTTTTTAACTTAACCGCCTACATACGTTTAATTGTACAACTATATTGTAACCACTTAATATTAAACCGGCTAGGAGTACGTTATTGTATTCGATCTGCATGAATACGATTTATATTATTGAATAACCACCAATATTCGTTTTACCTTGAAACTATAAAATAGTGTACACATTTGCGGCTTAATCCCGGTACCCATTGTACGAATTTGCTTATCCCAAGGTTGCCGTCGCCACTGTAGCCGTTTAGCAATATTTACCTCAACACTTATTTTCTGGACTTCAATAATAGGATTTTTTTTTGTCTCTCCGTTTTTAATTAAATTTACTATATGACAATATTTCTATATGCTACGGATCGTTAATTCTTTTTAGCATCTGGTTAGCAGTAGTACACTGCTTACGCGCGTTGATGTGTGTATAAATGGATATAGAATCGAGCTTCAAGGCCCCACGGCGTCGTCATCATCATTATCATCTCACCGCGCACTATATAATTATTACGATTTGTTTGTTCTTTTTTTCCTCTTTTAATTTTTTGTTCTTTATTATTATTATTATTTTTAAACTGTGAATCAAGGACAATACGGTGTATATATAGGCGTCTCTCGCCGTCGCCCAAATTTTCCTCGTACAACAAACCACAATGTCTACGTATTATTTTTAATTTTAATGTTTTTAGACAGTGATTCATTTCTCCCAGTCGTCTTCGCCTCTCCCGATTCTTAAAGGTTCGACATAACGATATTATTGTCACCGTGTCCGGTCTCGGTTCACCCGAAACATATGTTCTCTAAAACGCGTCGCTCTCAATACTAATTTATCGTCGTCGTCGTCGTGGCGTACACAGATTTTTAAATATGCTCGTACACACTTATACTAATGCCGCCGCCATAAAACTGCTTTTGTACAGTAAATATATTATATACTCACTAAAATTCAATACCGATTTGAAATACATATAATTATCGGTTGTACGGTTTACTAGAAACAGGTATGCACGATTCGTTGCATTGCTTACCGTCATTACAACTATGCGGAGTCGATTTTTCGCTAGCTTCGTTCACGCTTTTGTTATCAAAAATATACACTACACTTTCTATATACTTCCGTTAGATTTCCGTCGCTATACTAACCTTAGTCGAATCGAGCACGTATGTTCTACATTTGTACAGAATTTCGAGAGTTGTCGAAAATCCCAACCGGGAGGTAAGACATAAAAACCGCGTGTTATACCGTCATATACTACATGATTTATATATATATATAATATAACATAGTATGTATGGTACCATGGTTGTAATTGATGTATACGCGCGCCAAAAGAGAGAGAGATACACGTTATAGGTCGAGAGAAAATTAAGAATTGTTATTCGTTATTGTAACATTATATTTATATGCTACTTATATACACACGATCTGTCGTTTGCCGGGTGATTAGTAAATACTTTTGCTCATTCCACGCGAACTATTGTCCGTTCTTCGTTACCTGATTTCCCCCGCGAAACCGTTCCGAAAACGATTATATTGTTTTCGCGCATTATACACAAAATTATTATATTACAACGTAAATCGTTCTCGAATTTCGTTAAAATACGGGTGAGTGAGAGAGAGAGAATGAGAGAGAGAGAGAGTGAGAGAGAGAGAGAGATAATGCAGTTCACTGCAAATGTTGCCGTTTTATGACTTCGCGGCGGCCGGTGGGTCATCGACGTGATTTGTTCCGGTTCCTCTACCCGCTACAACTCGTTGTATTGTTCGGACCAACTGGCCACGACCGGAAACCATTTCCTGATTACTTCCTCTGCGCATTTGTCGCCCGCATTGATCCGACGCGATCATCCAGCAGCATTCGATTAGCTGTAGACGCGCGTACGCACGATTACACATTAACTAGATAATGATAGGCCGGTGGCTCTCCCTCGTCGGAATCAACGAAACAAATAACCGTCCGAAAACGAAAGTCGAAATGATAATATACCATACATATATATATGCACGTTAATTTAATCAGACGAATGCGGCACACACAGATTAATGCGTTTCTTTGTTATAAAATTGCAATACCGCTCCGCTGATATCGTACATATATGACGTACTCGCATTTAGGAAATATTCGGACAATTTTTTTAATTTATATAGAAAGTCATGATTGCTCATGTGTACATAATTTAAATCATGAACAATTACGTGAAGTTAATGGTCACCTCATGTACAATGCAGTAATTTTCTATTTAAACGCACTGGATTTAGTTTTTCTTTTCCGAGTATATACGATTTAATAGATAAAACTTTGCAACATGATGATAATAAGGGAAAATTATGTTACAATTTAAAAATCTAGTTCTTGTCAAATATTGCTTTATTTAAATAGTACTTCCATGATCATTCTACATTTAAAAATCGGTACGATCTACAAATAAAACAATTAGTTATGTTTTCTGTTTTCATTATATTATGTACCTATATATATATATAATGTATTATATTAATATTGGTAAATGTGTCGATCACTGTTAAAATAATATATATGTATAATGATGTAAAATATTATCATAAGAAGAATAATGGAGAATAATGTACACTTGTAATGAACATATAATAAGGTTATATAATCGGACATCAATGTATAACCATATTACGTGGTGTTAAGGACTGCGAAAGGAATGTATTAGTTTTCTCGATTAGACATCAAATTATCTTTATCGTGCATAATTGTAAATCCTACGCACCCAAAACCTTGTTCTTAAACGTATAGAACCACCTGAGTGGTATGCAAATCGTCTAAATAAATATCCAAATATCTTGATGTATACACGGATACAATTCTTAAATTATCTACATTTTTTTTTTCAAATTTTTTTTTTTTTTTTGTGCCGAACTTTTACCTACTGCTGTATAAACAGTGGTTTGATCAGACCGATTATTCAATTACGGTACGGTGTAATAATCATAATAACGATATAACAACGAAATACGTAGTCGATTTTCCTTGGGCGTTTCACTATCGGGGTCCGTTGAAAGTTTCCCAACGCGCCCATAGCTGACGTAGGCACGCACCGACATAGTATTCGTCACCGCGTCATATCAACGTTCGCATAAATCGCTATCTGTGCTGTTTTTCTCTATCTCAGCGTTACAGCTGTACACAGCGTACACGCGATTAAAAGTGTACTCCCTCCTGCCTACAAAAAATAACCATTTTTCCCGTTTATATCATCGTGTAATCGTATGCCGAGAGTATATGTTTGACCTGCACGACGCCGCGACCGCGGGGTATGATTACGGCGTAATAAATCGAATCCGTTATAGAAAAATCCTACCGTCAAATAGCATTGTCTCCGCGAACATATGTATATGTATATACATTTTACTCTTACACGATACTTGCTTGTGTATAAAATAATGTCGCGGCGATAAATCGTGGGAGAAATCGATAATTATATTACAACCGATTAATAAACGTCGGAGAGGTCATTGCGCGCGAATTTTTTCGCCTCCTTGTACACCGATGACGACGACCACGTAAACAACAGATTTTCAGACCCAAAACTGTAAATAATATGTATATTATTATAGAAAACCGCTGCCGTGGCCGCTTTCGGATTGCGCCACCAGCAATAACAACCGCGTTCAGCCGACCGTGTCTTCCTATTGGCCCCCGTATACCGTTCACGTGTAATAGTATTATATACGTACAACACGCGCGAAATGATTATCTCGACGATTCATCCAGTGGTTTGGCGTGCGCACCGTTGTACATTAAACGCCCGATGTCTGAAGCGTCGTACACACGTTTTATTTAATTTTTTTTTTTTTCACTATCGACTACCGTTTCTATTATTATTCTTGTATTGAAATACGATGAGATCTACGCGTTGGGTCCGCGAACAGTTTGATCATGTAACACATCGTGTTACAGCGACTAGAAACGGTATCGTCGAGTTCGATCCCGATCAAAATCAGATGTGGCGCGAGTAATTATATTTGCAACACACACGTCCGAACGGGATTCCGAATTTTCGAGTGCTACGCTCATGTAGTTTCCCGTGAATAGGTATATGTTACATGTATGTATATGTATGTGTTACACGTTACGCGAAAATTTTCAAGTTTTCACGAAAAATAAAACGCTTGTCGTAAACATAAACGTTTCAATCACGAGAGTAGGTAAATTTAGAAACTTTTTTTGTTCATTTATATCCCGTCGGATATAATTTTTTTTTTCGACACGTTTGTGTCGTATTATTGCACACGCAGTATCTCTTAAACGAAGAGACGATTTTCGGGCGACGTGCGTCCTCGTTTCGAGTTTTTCGTTTCGTGACAACAAAGAAATGTAACTCCTGCGGCGTTGCACATAATATTTTTTCCCGCGATAAATTGAATCCAATATATATATATACCATACTATACAGAGGGAGAGGTATTATTATGTATTGTACTTTGATTGCACGGCAAACGTTATATTATAATAATATCCGGACATCCGCTTGTTGTTGCGCGTCGTAGAACTCGCCGCGTGGCACTCCTCCAGGTTGTCGATGCGTACGTGCGCGCTTCACTCGCATCGGAATACGATGGGTATTGAACGAACCATATTTTTGTGTGTACGTTCGATTGCAATGTTTGTATTTTTCCCGTAACGAAACGTTCGTGCTCGGGAGTGAAAACGATTGACCGCAGTGTCCGAAAATACTGACCAAACGAAAATAATAATCTCTCCTCGAACGTCATTACCGTCGCATTCGCGCGGTGTACCATCAGAAAAGAAAATCTCAATTACACCGATTACGCGTAATGTACACACCTAATCAAAATAATAATAATGAAAAAAAAAAAATCTTATAGGTTACGATGAGAAATATAATTCAGTTTCTTACAATGCGTGCGTGTATATACATTTATAATGCAGTATGCAAAAAACTTATCTCTTCCGCGCCTCATGCTTAACTCGTATGATATTCGTTTCCTGTCATATTTCCATAATACCGGACCATAACCGCATGTACTCAACGCCCGTAACTGATTTATAAACACTCCAAAACCTCTCGCGTTCAAGACTTTCGCCATATATAAAATATATTTACAAAATGTATACATATATATATTATGTACACCTCTCGTGTCCACCGCGTGTAACGGTGTCTTACATATATTGCGCGCCGTTACACAATAATACGCAATAACCATAATCATAATAACGATAACAATTTGTACAGATCAGAATTATTTTTATAACTGTTATTATAACTGACCCTACTCGTACTACCAACGGAATAATGAATCGTTGTTTTCTCAAGTGCACCTTTGAAATATAATATCATCCATCTCATCGGTTTTAACATGCGCGCAAATTGACGCACGATTTTTGGATAATCACTTGACTATCTTTCTTAAACTCTGCCCCATCAGAAAATCATACCTAACCCAGGAGTATGCCCAGGATATCATTTTGAAGGGAGGGGATGGTTAAAATACTTAATTATAAGTATAACTGGAAACAATTAGAAAAAAAATCTTTATTTTTTTTTTTTTTGGGAGGGAAGGAGTAGTACCTCTAAAACCATCACTCCTTGGCATGCCCCTGATCTAACCGCTTTCCTTGCTCATGTTGTTTGTTTGTGTTCATGTAGAACAGGCATGTCAAACTCGAAATCATCAACCGGACCAAAAATATTGAATAAGATACTACGCGAACCACACAAAAAGAAACCATTTATCCGGATCCCTTACGATTTAATGTTTTTTTTTTTTTTTTTTTTATATTAAATGTACCTATTTTAAATAGCAAAAACTTCTAACATTTTTTTTAAAAAATAATTAATTGTTCGCTTAATTTCATCTAATGCCCGCGTGTTTGACATGCCTGCTAGTTCAAAACAATCTACGCGTCTGCGATGCGATTTATTAACGAGTTTATATTTTTTTTTCCCCCTTGATACGCGTGTGCAGAGCACCACCAAGAAACTATTCCGACGCCGAAACCTCGTGCGATCAAGTCGTTGTCTGATCGATAACAAGAAGACGGTCTTACCGGCGGTCGACGAGGTTCAAGAACCGCCCGACTCCATGGCCACCGCGGCCGCCAAACTCCGCGACCAAAACGACGACGACGACGACGAACAGCAGCGCCACCAACACGACGACGACGACGACGACGACAACGGCGAGTTTTTTTTCGACAGCATCGAGAGCAGCCTGGCCACCAGCGCCAGTTCCAAGCGACCACCGCCCGAATGCGACTCCATTGACTTATCGCAACCCGACTCTTCGTTACCGGCCGCTTGACTGGCCGTCCGCAATCACGACGGCCGCGGCCGCGAGTACTCAGCGTCGTCGTCACGCACGATCCCGACTCGAAAAAATGTTTTGCCATTTTTTACCCTATCCCTTCTCTCTCTCTCCCCCTCCCTGTGTCCCATGGTTCGTCCTTGTTTACATATACGTGCCCTCGTCCTTTGACGGCGATATTGCCATAGCACACGTACGCGCACACGTACACGATAGTATATTTATTATACGATACGTTTTATTTTTCACGTATCAATACATATTATATTTGAAAACGAGACGCGAAACCGTTCGTATTGCCATCCCTGTACACGACCTCGTGTGTCCCGTATACTTAAACACGATACGCGTTACATATATTCCTGTCCGTTCACGTATACGTGTACGAACATATATTTAAACGTTTTATTATAATGTATACCTATGTGTATATATATATATATATAATAACTGTTTTGATTTTCATTGATTGAACGGTGCTCTACGGTCGGAGAAGAAATTTGAATTTACATTATTATCATTACTATTATTTTTATTATTATTACTATTTTCATTATTATTTTTACTACACGTGTACCCAAATATTATATCGTCGGAAGAAGAAATTAAGCGTTCTTGAATTTTTTTATTTTTATTTTTCGTTTCATCCGCCTCCACGACATTCCAGAAATCAATATTATTTTATTGTTTTCTATTTATTATATATTTATGTTATTAATTTAGACTGATTATTGTGTAGTTGTAATTGTGATTCGATCCGGACTTCTGACTTTTACGTATTCACTCACCTTCGCCATCGTGCAAAAATACAATTACTTAATTTTTTTTTTTTTGAATTTATCCTCATACATTATTCGTCTTCAAAACTGTTAGTTTGTCTTTCGCGCAAACTTAACATGGTTTTGAAACCCCACAAAAACAATACACGTGTAACCTGTGAAGACAGTTGTATTCGTCCACTTATCATATTATACATCCTTGTCTCTGTTTCTCTTTAAACCCATTTTTATTATTATATACGTAATTTTTATTGAATGAAAACAAAGCTCACTGAAAAAAAATTATATTTTGTAGAAAATAATTGTCACGAAAAAAAATATATATGTATATATTATATTTAAACGTAAATTATTATTGTAATTTTTTTTAACCATATAGAGAATATAATATTTATTTTTTAAAAAAGAAATTTATACATAAAATTATAATCATTGTTATTTTTACCTATATATGTTATGAATGTTGTAAATGTTTTTTTTCTTTTTTTTATGTAGTGTTATTAGATAATATTTTGTGTGAAAAAAACAATGTGTGTATATATGTATATTTCAATGTGTCTGCATACGTATATTTATATGTAAAACATAGATATATGTTTCAAAAAGAACTATATATATATATATATATACACAATAAACTCGTGATCTTAGTCAATTGTGTAGGATTTTTTTCTTTATAATATATTACGAGTACATTGCGTGGTCATAACGGCTAAATGACGCACGTCATCGTCTTCTTCGTCGTGACTACTCCGAGGATTTAACGAAAGCTGATGTTTGTCGGGGACGAGGAAATACATTTGAAATTTCAAGTGTAATAATAATAATAAAAAAAAAAACCCCCTGACGATATCAACAACGAGCGAACGGTAAGTAGAAACGTTGCGTAACCCAATAATAAAATAATATTATTCGCACGGTGTATGTACCTCATTCGACTGGAATACTTACAACGTTTTCGTGTTCTCCCTTCACTGATCGACGGTTAGAGATCGCATTGATGAAAATCCATCCTCGGCCGAGGAAATCGAAATACACGTTTGATAGTCGGTATCGCTTTAAATATCGATAAAAAAAAAAAAAAACTTGTCATGTCCGGTACCGTAACTGAACTACTCGAGGCCTGTGTGAAAATCAAAATTTTGAGGCCCCTTATCGTTATAAATTTTTGAGCATTCAACCTTTCGGGTCACTTTGATATAATACAAGGCAGATGATATGGAAAATAAAATAAAAAGTTTTTACTGAATATTCGGTTACTGATCATTTACCGATATAATTTTTCCACGAGTACATAGTATTTTTTTTTAAAAACAAGTTAATCAATTATAATTTTCCGTTTGAAACCTATACGGGTGATATCGTATCACGCACTCGGCCGACACAAGAAAACTATCAGCTCGCGGCAGGTGTGATTGGCTCGCGTTGAAGCGTATGGTTATTTTTCTAAAATTATAACGCGACGCGCGCACATGCGGTTTCGGGGTTTCAATGGCCGTTGCACGGGTGGGTTTAAGGGGGCATTAGCCCTCCCCCTTGGGACTAAGCTATCTATTTTAAAAAGGAAAGTATTATTATTTATTAATGATTACAATAAAATATCGTCAATGGTCATTGATGAATATGGTACCTATTTTATATATTATTTTTATAAATAAATAGCTCACTTTTGTTGTTAATTATATGTATTTACTTATATTTTAAAATGGTTTCAGATTAAAATTGATACAAAAATATAACTATTTAAACTTTGTCATTATTGTGAAAAAAATGACTTATTTATGAGGGACTCAAAAACTTATTCTGTAATTTAAAATTTTATATAGATTTAAAAAACCAACTAACTAAATTCTTAAACCTCCATTACCCCTCCTTTGGTTAGTGATAAAACCCGCCCCTGGGCTGTTGTGGCTTTTAACTCACGCGGAGTACCCGGAACGAGGTGGTTTCACGTTGTATACCAATCGATTTCCCTGTCGTTGGGCCGGCGCAGCACGTTGCTACGCGAGCGAGGCCCACCGACGGGTTTCCGGCGGATCACCCGCCCGGGACCACGCGGTGTTGACTCGTTTGGACGCGAAGAGAGAGAAAAAAAACATAAAAAATACCCCCGTCCGTCCGCGCAAGAACAATCCGTCCCCAGACCGCGCGTCGATGGTCGGCACGACTGAAACGAAATTAGCCTTCACGAGACCCCGTTGCGCGCACCGTTTTTCGGCCGTGGGCTCGTGACCGAGTGTTGTTCGCAGAGGTGGAACTGGGAATATTTACGCCCTGGGAAAATGTTAAAATTACCCCCTGTCATAGACCGATAATCAAAATACTCTTCTCGAGAATTGTTTTCTAATATACAATCGTACTTCATGGGCTTTAACCTAATATCACTATTTAACAAAGTTAAAAATATCAAATTAGTCGTTAATAATTACAAAAATTACACCCGGGAATGAGTCCCCGCATTCCACCCCCTAGTTCCGCCCCTGATTGTTCGAAATCAAAAACTGACGGCACAACACGTTGTATGTTATCTCATGCATTTTATCGATTTCTGATACGTCGTTCGACAACACATGAATCCGCTAATTTGTTGCGTTCGATCGCATTGATATTTAACAATGTTAACAATGTTAACAGCTACCGCCGAATCGTCTTCAGTTCCATAGTAATACTGTGTCGGTCCGATTCGGGCCACTCGAGTCACGTCGTCCGAGAGTTGTTCGATGAAAGTTATGGTTGTGTATTGTAAACGTATAACGTTTGATTTCATGCCACCGATGTGTGTTCACGTATTTGTACGTATACGTTTTTTTTTTTTCTGGCAATAAACGACCGAGTTATTTAATCCGGAACAGTGTCATTAAATGTAGGCATTCTTGATTCACAACGACATGAAACATGGAGGTGCTTTAAATTTAATTGGGGATTTAATTTAGGGAAAAGTAAGCATCTCTTAGCATCCCTTCGTTCGCCACTGCCCGTATACGTTTCTATACATCAGTTGCAGTGGAACTATAATACTACTCTTTATCGTCGTGAGAAATATTAAGGATTATTTACAATTAATTATGTTTCTTCAGACGCACAATTATTCATTTTCGATTCACAGGCGGAAATTTATGTTTATGAAATAGATTATTCGACTAAACACAAGGTTTAAAGTGTATTTTCTACGAGCCCGTAAAAGTGGCAGAGATACGCGCACGGGTCCTTCTGTGGTCTACCCTTTCCCGCTGTCCTTTTTTTTCAAAGTCCTGGTTGACCAAAACCGAAGTTCAAAGTTAAGGATGAATTTATAAAAATATATTATTTCACAGGACAGAAGATTCGTTTAAAAATGTAAACACTTGTACCGTCAAAAAGTTTTTTGTATACATGAAAAAAAAGTCTAAACATGACTTGACTATATATATTTATAATACAAAAACAAGTTAATATACGCTTTATACACGGTCCGTAAAAGTTTTGTAATTTAAAATTATAATACTGTAGTCGAAATTTAGATTGATGAAATGCAGCGTAGTATTTTTTTTATCTTGCTGGTACCTATGTTATTAGATTTTTGAAATTATAAAAAATGTTTAAAAATGTGTATATTTTTCAAAAAAACTATGTCTTGGGATTTGAAATTAAGATTATAGGTTTCCATTTGAAGATTGAAAGTCGTCTACGCTGTTTAAATGTTTCTACAAACAATGAAAAAAAATATAGGAATCAAAAATAATTTCCTAGAAAACCAAAGATCTAAACATAAATTACATATATTATCCCATATTATCTACCATACGTATAAATAATGGATTTGATTTACGGCGGACGATCCAAATAATCATATAAAACAAGCCCTAACAAAACTGTAGTTTTTGAATGTAAAAATTTAAATTTTGAAAATAAATTGAAAATCTCCAACGACTTTATTAAATCGTGATCGAATAAATTTTCATTACTACGAAAATTAAAGGCGTACTCAAATACATAAAAATACATAAATTACTACTGCTAGAGTGGAAGTGTTGTTCGGTCAGTCTCATTCAGTCACGTTAGACGTAAAAATAACGATATTATAATTATAATTACTTTAATAATATTACTAATTTTACATAATATGTAGTTATTTTAGGATTTTTATTTTACCAAATTAAAAGTCAACCAACATTATACTTGTATAACATAAAGTTTATAATTAAGTTTGTTTAAAAAAAACCAGTGTTGTTTTAATTTTAAATCTCATGCCCATTGATTACAGACAAAGATAGCAACCTTGTATGTATTGTTTTTGACGAACCCTTATTCGTTCAACAGTCATTCGGCTAATGCTACTGACAATACAAGCGACTGTCTCAATTCGTTTTTCATTACAAGCATTATTTTTTTAATTTTTTTTTCTATTATTTTATGCTTCGGGTACCTAATGTTTTAAATATTGTGCCTCTCAAGTGTATACGCCATTGATGTCAAAATATGGTGTATGTAAGTACCATCAAAAATCGAAGCACAGAAGATTTGGTACGTAAAAATATTATATATATATATATTTAAAATTCCCATAATATATATTAAATATAATTATGTATAGAATATGGTATATTTTTATCGTACTTTACGGATGATAAATGTTATCAAAGTTGTAGGAAAATGAATCTCAAAAAAAATTCTAAGACCAAACGATATTTGAATCGTTTAATCTAATTTACAGTAATAACTAATAAAATACACGAGTTTATGGTTTTTGTATTACTGTCGCACTAGGGTTGAATAATAATCAATTATATTAATAAAAATGATAATTTCATACCGGCAATATTTTTCGCGTTAGTAGAGTATAATTTTATTATTTTTGTCAGAGTTGAAGATTTTTCGGGCCTATGTTTTCCTATTATTAATTTACTATCGTGTCGGGCGGTTATTCTCAGAACGTGTATTTGAATATGTATTTTTTGTGTAAGCAGTTGGTGTAAGGCCAATGACCAGAATATTGCTCTGAAACGCGAACTGCACGTTACACTGCAATATTAATTATTATTGTACCGAACCATGGGTAGGTACCACAATGTTCGACGTCTTTAATTATCGCAGATTTGATTATTCTTTCGCGTTAAAAATTCGAATTGAAACATGACCGAGGGGACAAGATAATAGTTTGGCCACTCCGACAGAACATCTTGGCGCGGAGTTGCTACCTCTTGCCCACGTCCGGATCACGCCTATGGCTACGACCAAGGTGTAGCGCGCTTACGGGTAAAAGTTCCGTACAATTGTATAAATATTTTCGCCGGTCGCACCGCAAAATAGTGTAGCC